ATTTCAAGATAGAGAATTTTCTCATCTGTTTCAATTGATGTCTTGCGCTGCTAGGTACGAGTCTCTTCTCCATGAAGAAGAACATAGTAGAAGTGGCTTTAGAAGACAATATTTTCCAATGTTTGAAAACTACTCACTTAGGCAGCAATGCTGACGAGGTCGATGTCAACTTGGTCGAGATCTTGCAAGGTAAGCCATACATATGTGCTTATTTAGCCAAGGTCGATGGGGAACCACAAGGTGAAAAACCCAATCGTACACCAATGCAATCTAGAAAATACTCTTTTGATGTTTCAAAAGCTTATTTGATTTTCGACCAGCTTTATAAAGATGGTCAAATTAAACTGACTGGAGGGCATACCATCCCACCAGCTGAGAAATTAAAATGAAAACGCTACTGTAAGTGGCACAACAGTGTGTCTCACTCAACTAACATGTGTGGGCTGTTTCGAAATGTGTTACAGGATGCTATTGAAAAAGGTCGGTTCAAGTTGTCGGAGTCGAGGAATGAGGCCATGATTGTTGACACTGACCCGTTTCCCAACAGTGTTGGCATCAATATGGTCAACGTTGTGGGAGGCAACATTTTCCAGGCTCTTTTGTACCACGAAGACCTTGGTACTCAGAAAATTAGGGGTATAAAAGGGGGACCATGCAACGTTGTGGTTTCAAGCACAAAGGTGTTGAGTAAGGCGTGCTAGAACTCGTTGTCCGAGGTCGTGATACCAACCATGTTCACATTAGATGGTCCACCAAATTCTAATGTACAAGTCGTTAATGAGTAGTCCACCTCGAGAGAAGGTGGCTAAGGCCGAAATCACGGCCTTGCAAGAGAAGTTGGTCGTCTGTGTTTCATATGAGGAGTTGTCGATTAATGACAAGGGTTTAAGTTATGAGGTGGAAGAAGGGATTGATGCAGCTGTCTGTGACATTGTGGAAGAAATCATCCTTGGCGCGAAGGAGGATCTACATCTAACATTCATGAGTACCAACTTGCCGATGCCCGAAAGGTACGATTTAATTGAGTTTTCGAAAGTAGAAGTTTCTATGTGATTATCATGAAATGTTGTCTGTGCATGTCACAGTCATGCTGTTTAGAAAATTTATTGATTTTTATCTTAGATTGTCGACCAAGTGAAAGCCCGAGATGCAAAGACACTAACGGCGATGTACCAACAAGATCACCGTCGTTGGAGTGAAGTTGGGAATTGTCATGATATATCGTTTTTCTTTTATCCAAAGGTGTTAAGTATGGCAAGTCGAGTTATTATGGCATTATTCAAATCGCCATTACGTCTACAATGGTTTAATGATAAGGAAAGAAGGACCAAATATGGTCGTTCTGGTCAGGCCACATGCCATTTTGTTTTTTTTCTTTCTTCTTACCGACATTGGTGGCGGACATGACACTGTTGCAGAGTAAGGAATTTTTGTCCAAAAAAAATATGTGTGGCAAAAAAAACAAAGCTAAAAATAAAAAAAACGTACTTGTTTGTGGAAGGATAGCTCTGCAGTGGAAAACTGCATTGTTTTAAAATAAAAATTTAACATCGCTGGCAAGGCTAACGCTATGAAACGCGGCTGATATATAAAAAAGAATATAAATAAATCTGCCGCTCAATTTTAGCAGCCATGTAGTGTTTGTTGCAGCGTTGGATGTAAGGAAAAAGGGTGCTAAGCCATGCTGATGAGTGGCCTTGTAGATTGTCGTTGCTTTGGAAAAAAATTAAAATTTCAAGAGTGAAACGCCACTGTTTAGAGTAAACATAGCATTGCAAGGCCACACAGACGACCGCAATGGTATAAAAGATATTTTTTAAATCATTATTCTTGCAGCACTGCAGCAACTACGTTGTGTTGGTGATTGAGTTTGGGCCAAAATGACATTGCGACAGACTTGACCACATTGTTGTAAGAGAGGGTAAAACGTAAAATGCATGGAGTGCCACTAAACCTTTTGTTTTGGAGGAGCTATACCACTTAAGTTGGAATAGGACACCGGATGCCACTAAACTATTCGAATTGTGCATCCGTTAAGAATTCCATCCATGTAACTAACGGTGTGAATAAAAAAATAAAAATTTGCCACGTAAACTTGCCACATCACCAGATTTCTACTAACCCAAAACCAAAAATCTATTACCCTAGCCCAACTCCTTAAATTGGGGCACTGGTGCATGAAGCTTCGATTGTGGGCATGTTTTCAATCGGCGGTGCGTGGAGATTTGTCGTACTCGACGAGGCGATAAAGTAATATTAGAGGGATTCAGTTTTCCAAAAAAATTGGGTTTTGTGCTGATTTGGAGGAAAAGGAGGTGCAGGAGGGTTTAGGGGGGCGGAGGAGGTGATTTCAGGAAAAGGGGATGGCGGGTTGGGTACCTTAGGTTGGGTATTGGGTGGTTTTTGTTTAATAAGTTGGGATTGGGTAGTGGTTAGTAGAAATCTGGTGATGTGGCGGGTCTATGTGGCTACAAAATATTATTTTATTCAAACCGTTAGTTAGATAGATGGAATTTTTAACGGATGCACAATTTGAAGAGTTTAGTGGTATCCGGTCCCCTATTCCAACTTAAGTGATATAGCTCCCAAAACGAGAAGTTTAGTGGTACCCATGTATTTTACCCTTGCAAGAGGAAAACAATCGTCTGGATCCTGGTGGCGTGGAGTAGTGACAGGGTGGCCAAGTTTCGCGGGCTTGGGGTTTTGTTCCTAGCATCTCTATCCCGCTCGAGGTAAAGCAGTGATGTGGCGTATTATTTTTGTTGCATTCCGTTCAAATATGTTGGTTAAGTGGAGCATTGCAAGATAAGAAAGAAGAGAATTAGACCACGTTGGGAAATTATACGTTGCAAGTAGGGCTGGGCATGCGGGTGGATCATCCGCGGGTTTGGGCCGACCCACCCGCATTTGACCCGAATTTCATTAAGTGGGTGGGTCTGTGGTTGGGTGACGGGTTGCGCTGAGAGCCATCCGCCGGGTGGTGGGTGGGTTGTGGGTGGGTGCGCGGGTGACCCATTTAACCCAACAGCAAAAAGATCAAAGTCGTTGGCGCTAGAGAGGGGAGAGTGGAGACGTTAGACATAAACTAGGACTGCTCCTGGAGTTCGAACCTCAAAGCCAACCCTTCCAAATAGCGATCCCCTCTTCTTCCCTTTATTTTTTCCTCTAATTATTGTGCCTAGATCACCGCTCTTTCCTTTGTGGAATTATTTTCCTTAGTTCCTTGCACCTGATAATCATCTCAATTTGTAGAAAACTCTTTCATGATAGAATATCTATCCAACTTAAGAACTAATTCGACATTTTCCCCCCTATTTCATCTTCTTGTTTCCCCCAGATAACTCTCTGCACCTATTATCATGTCAAGTTGACTCCTTTATATTATATACATTGTGATGTGGTTGAACCCACAAACCCACCCGCATCATCCACCATCCGCCCGACCCAACCCGATACTAAATGTGGGTGGGTGGTGGGTTAAAAATTATCAATCCATTTAAGCGCGGGTGAGTGTATTTTATGGTCAAAATCCACCCGACCCACCCAATGCCCACCCCTAGTTGCAAGCATGGCAACAACGCAAGGGAAAACATTATTGCTTTAGGAATAGGAAAAATACAAGCAATCGTGTTGTTGACTATTTGAAAAAGGGAAATTATTAAAAATTAGTAACTTTGGCCACAACATGGCGAGAGTTTGAAGAGGAAAAACAACAGCATGGTTTTTTTTTTTTTGTGAGAACAACAGCATGGTTTTGAGTGGCCAAAGGAAACACCGTTGATTTATAATTTCAAAATTGGCAAAAGAAAAATATGAGCCCAAAACGCTTTGGATGTCTATGGCCAAACAATGACGAAAACTATTATGTAGATTTCTATGGTGAGAACTTTCACGCAACTTACGTCGTAAGAATCGTATGATAATCGAAATAATTAGAGTTCATGAAGAGAATTGAGGTAAAAGAAAGCTAACAACTAATAAACTGAAATATTCTTCTCCATGACTGAGTAGAATTAACGACATTGATATATATTTATAGGCTAAGATCCTAAACTAATCCTAATCCTACTAGACTATTGTTACTTGCCGTCTACTCTTAAAGAAACCTAACCCTAACCCTACTCTACAATTAACTCACGTACTAACCCAACCCAACCCAACATTAATTATGACAATAACTAATATGGAAGAAAGAATATATGTAACAAAAACCCAATGTAGTAGAGTCGAAAATTAGGCTGCCAAACAAACAGATATGTGGTGTTGGTTGCAGCTGGATATATCTACACATAATATAACAGCAGAATGAGGAAAACTGTTGCTCCATTTCAAATTTTCTGCAACGAGAGTGAAAGTAAGAAGGACATTATCTACACATAATATAATAGCAGAATGAGGAAAACTGTTGCTCCATTTCAAATTTCTTGTAATGAGAGTGAAAGTAAGAAAGACATCTTGGTCTTCACAATCACTTATTTCTTTTATATTTATTCATAAAAAAACATATACCACGATTTGAACCATGGACACTCTAAAGAAAAACAAGAATCATAACCAATCACACTAAGTATATCTGTTGTATCATTTTAAATTAAAAACATGCATGAACATAAAATCTGAAAATCATTTGAATTTTTCAACAATTAGGTGGCAATGAATTTGTAGGGCAATGACATGTCTACATCTACACTCATCACAATCTACAGATAATAAAAAAGTGAAATGAGAAATGAGGGATCCCATTTCAAATTTGATGGATCTAGAGCAAATTTTTTGGATTAATTGCATGGTTGGTCACTGAGATTACAAAAACGTTCAAGTTTGGTCACTCAAAATATTTGAATCCATTGGTGGTACTTCAGTTTACTGAAGTCGTTCACGTTTGGTCGATCTCCGTCCAACTACGTTAACTTTTGCTTATCTGTTAAATGTATGACGTAGCAATTTAAAATTAATAAAATTAATAAAATTAAAAATTTTAAACTTATCATCTCATTTCCACCTCATTATCACTTTTATTTAAAATAATAAAAATCTCAATTTCTTCTAATCCCCAATACCAATTACCTCGCCGGCAGCGCCGTCACTGCCGCTTCCATTGTTGTGGTACTCGCCGCCAAAGGAAAATCCTCCACAACTCGCCGACGAGCAGAGCGTATGACAGGGCAAGTTTCCTTGATTGGTCGCTTCCTCCGCTCCTCGTCGCTCTGTTCTTTAGCGAAGAGTGAACATAGCTCTTCGTCTTCCCAGAACCAGCTCTGCTCTAGCAACAAAATCGGAGAAAGACAATGGCCACCCCCGGCGATGTTGACGCCATCGGTATCACTAGAATCCAAAACCTCGTCGTTGTCGTCTTCGTGTCCCCACCTCTCTTCCTCGCAGTAAAGGTCGTCGAGAGGCGATGAAGAGGGGATGGAGCTTAGGTCATCATTATCAGAGTTGTGCGGATTGGGGATAAGAAGTGGTAGCATCCTCTTCATGGCAAAAGAATAAGAGAGGGAAATGGGGGTAATCATGTGCGGAGGTCATTACGTAAAGGGGAGGAAAGCGAAGGTGGGATTCGCCATTGTTGTGTATCGAATGATGTCTCTGTTTTTCTAGGTAATGGAGAAGATAAAAGAGAGAAGAGGAGAGTGAAAGGAAAAGGGGGAGAGGGAAGAAGGGTCGTTGTCGCCGGTGGCAGAGGACGATTCGCCTTTGGCGGAGATGACCACAACAATGGAAGCGACAACAACGGCGCTGCCGGCAGGGTAGTTGGTATTGGAGATTACAAGAAATTAGATTTTTTTATTTATTTTAAATAAAATTGAAATGAGTTGGAAATGAGATGGCAATTTTTAAAAAATTATTTTTATTATTTTTAAATTGTCACGTCACACATTTAATGGTCAACTTTTAGAGTTGACCGCCACGTGAACAAAAGTTAACGGAGTTGGACGGAGAGTGACCAAACGTGAACAGTTTCAGTCAACTGAAGTACCATCAATGGATTTAAATATTTCGAGTGACAAAACTTGAACGTTTTTTGTAATCTCAATGACCAACCATGCAATTAACCCCAATTTTATTGGGGTACATTTAGAATGCACTAGTATGGCCAGTCTGTTGAGCACGAAAGTGAAACATCTTTCGATTTAAACGGTCCCGAACTGTGATTTGGCCCACTAATCGTGCACCCATCGCAGTCTCACCAAAGCTTCCCATTCTACTCGCAAGGTCATCTCCTCCCCCACGGATCTACTCTCCTCCTATACCTAAAGTTTTCACTAAATCCTAATCTCTACAACCTAAGCATGAGATTCTAACTAGAATGCGAGAGGGAGCTACCGACGGATTGCAGCTACCCCCAGTGTTCTGATAGCTAATCAAGAAGACCCCGTATGTTTAGATGTATGGTGATTCACTTAATAGCACACTCCACTTCATTGACAACCTTATCTCCTGAATTGTATTATGTTCACGAAGATCCGAAGACAACAAGAGCAACTGGTCCAGCGGTAACCTATATGTATAAAGAACTGGCCAAATTGAATGGAGTCATTCTATTTGGAATATGAAGATTTTTGCTTAATTGCTTTGGTTCGTGATGCAGCTATGTTTGAAGGTAGATTAACGCAAACAACATTACAACTCCAGAACTATTCTGCACACAAGTAGTTGGGGCATTAATTGATAATGATTTGGGATTATTTCAAAAAGTACTTAATTTGGAACGCGCCTTTATATTTCATTGATTAATAGTGGTTTGAGATTTTTCAAATGAGTGATTTGACTTGTTAAACTTTTCAAGTTTTGAACATGGAACTTTCGAAGTGGAATATGAAGATTTTGGATTAAGCTTGGTTTCGTAATGCCCTTACGAATGTTTATTCTCCAAAATGCAACTGAATTTCAAAGTAACCCATCACAAATGGTAGGTCAAGATATAACGATGGTACCGGTATAAGTTTATATCATAGTTGGAAGGAGATTGTATCTATTCTACTATATTGTTTAGTTAAATGCTCGGTTGTTCTTTCTAACTAAAACTTGTGCTTAAATGTTGTTATTGTCCTAAGAAATGTATGTCTTTGCATTAACTATTAATGATTGTGAGTTTTGGTTTAATGATGAAAAGTCCATTTATTTCGAAGTAATCCATTGCTTGAATTTCGTTTCAAGTTTGAATTGGACAAACCTGCTAGAAAATAGGCATGCCATATTGGGGTTTTCAAATGGTTACCATGGTAATTACCAAACCAAATAAGCCTAAATTATATTAAAAGGGAATACAATATTATAACCAAACCGTCCAAGCTAATACAACAACCAAATTAACCAAACTAAAATTTACTCGGTTTGGTTAATTGGTTAATTCGTTAACCAAAAGAAAAATTATGGTTAGTGCATCAATTCACAATTTATATAATGAATAACACATAACAATCAAATCATATTTAACCCTTAATATAAATACATGTAAGAAATATAATTATCTTACATTTGACTATTTTTTTTTATGAAAGTGATATATTAAAGAGAATAAACAAAGCAGTCTATACAGCCTAGAGATCAAAAGGGTTGACCTCGAGGGAAGAAAAGGCGAAAAGAGAAAAACAAAAAACAGAGCCAAAGGCAGAAATCGAAAATAGAACAAAAGAAAAAGAAGGCAGGAGCTAGCAGAACGGACCAGATCGTTCCAGCTAGTTCACACAAGAAAAGATCAGAGTAACCAGAAAACCACCCGGAGCATACAAAGAAAAAGAAAGATGCAATGGACAGCGAGCAGCAAAGGAAACCTCCTGCCAGCGATAATCCTGACGACTGCCTCACAGAACTGCATCGAGCGACCAAAAGCCATCATCCATGAATCTGTCGAGAGCAATCCCGAAGCCAGGAAGCGGCACTCCGATTATCTATTTTTCCATTCGCCACTTCCCAACCCACAACACTCTTCAGGGTTTTCCCAGCAATATGATATGGGTCTCTCATATCACCATTGAAGATTCTGCTATTCCTTTCAATCCAAATGAACCAAGATACAGCGTGAAGAGCACAATATCTGAACCAACCCTCCATTCCATCCGGGATATCAGCTGGCCAATTCTTACATTTGACTATTTAGTGGTTATGAAAAGTATTAAGTATGTGTATATAATATATATTATATATATGACTAATTACTTAACTAGTTAATTTGGTTTGATTGGTTAGGAGTGTCTTAAACAAAACCAAACCACCAAAACCAAACAAGCTAAAAAATTTAACCATACTAAACCAATTATCCAAATTATCCAAATACTACTAGTTAAAATGGTTACCATAGAAAACAACCATTTACGGTTATACTGCCTTCTTCAAACCCTTCAGTTTAGTTGGTGGCTACGAGGTCATCAGAGTTCCGCCATTTGGCTGTTCATACAAAAGTGAGTTAAAGTAATATGCATCGGCGGGTATTTGTAGAAACCCCTTTTTTTTTGACGAATAAGAAACCCCCTTCAAGTGGAATTAATTTGCTGATTGACATCATGTAGTTTACTGGTATGAAATTGCTCCTTTTTTAATTAGAGAAATATGCATAGGCGGGTATTTGAAGAAACCCCCTTCCTCGAGCTTATCCCTTTCGCTCCTCTACAAATGGTTTTTTTTTTTTAGCTGTTCTCTGCAAGTGGTTTTCTTTTCTGCAAACTTTTGAAGGTTCGAGGAGATAATTGGAATGTCATCAACTTTTAACATAAATCATATCAATACCTAATAATTTTGCAATCAATTTTTGGCTGCTTCAACTTCCAGCAAAAACTTACTTGCATCTATTACGTTGGTGTCTTGTCCTGATGTTAATTCCAAGAATGAAGAATTTTTCATTTTCTTTTTTGGGTTTGAAAATCTTTTTGCTACTAATTCCTATGGTTTGGGTTGTGGGCGACTATGGGGACTATCATAGGGGACAACTATGAGCTTTTGTCTTCGGAAATAAAATCTCAAGTTAAATTAGGGACAATTGTATTAAGTTGTCCCCATAAAATAAAGAATGAAGTTTTTGTTAATTTGGAATTTGGTTTAGTTGTCCCTAAAAATGAAATTTCTGGAAAGTTTATTTAAATTAGTAAGTGAGAGGGGAAATCTTTTGCTGCAGCTAGAGGTGGCAATTTCAATCCAATCCACCAATCCAATCCATCAATCCATTAAAAATATCCACCTAATCCAATCCATTTAAATCCAATCCATTTTATCCAAATCCAATTGGATTGGTGGATTCATGGATTGGATTCATGGATCATTGGCAAATTACGGTTTAGCACCTATAAATTTTATTTTTTACATTTTGGTACATAAAATTTAATTTTTTAGACGAAAAATATCATTGGAAAATTACATTTTGGTACCTAAAATTTTTCATTATGACATTTTAGTACCTAAACTTTTTACATTTTACATATTGGTCCTTGGTTGAGGATGTCATTTGGATTCATGGATAATCCACCAATCCACTTGATCCAATCCATGAATCCACCAATCCATTAGATCCAATCCATTTGATCCATGGATTCACCAATCCAATCCACCAATCCATTTGCCACCTCTAGCTGCAGCGAATTATTTTGTGCAGGAAAAACAAATAAAACTATGACGAGATTTATTCGCGGTGAAAGAATATTATTTCACACTGATTTTTTTTTTTTTTTTACTTACCAGTTATTTATATTGGACTTAGAGTTAGAAACAATTCAAACAAAAATGATGGATAAATTTAAAACTCACCTCATCTCAACCATTCATTTATGGATCGAAATTTGCAGTCATGGATTTGGTTTAAACTTAACCTAATAAACCCTAGTTTTTATTTATATCTCTTTAGCCGCATTGACTTCTACTCCATGTTTTCATCATTCCTGGTTCTTCCTTCTCTTCTACCGGCCTCCGACTCTTTTCTCACAATTCTCATATTTTTTTGTTCATGCCATACCATGTTTGGAGGTAAGTTTTGATGCAGGTGACAATGATATAGTTTCTTACTATTAGATCCATCTTTGTTAAGCTCCTAACTGTTTACTTTTCTGTACTTTGACGCTAATGGCCACCGACGCTATGAGAAAAGAAATTCTCAGTGTGCAGAGATTCGGGAATCAGGTGTCGAGGGTTAGATAGGAACGAGCGAAAGAAACAAATGACACTGTCTGTAGGTGTCGAGGGTTTGATTACATGAAGTTCATTATTTGGAAGGCATCACACGCAGGATAAATGCTATTCTTCTTTTCTATTCCAAAAGTTGAGATAATGATGAGTTCCCTGTATCTTTGTTTATCATCACCACATACGTAATAAATGAATTGTGAATTTGATTTCTTATATACAAATACATATACAATGGTGTTTAAAATTACATGTATGATTATTTTTTGTCCCCTAACCTACAACTTTAATGGACAACTATTCGTCCCTAAAATTCACACAGGTGACTATTTGTCATCTCCAAAATTATAATATAAGCAATCATTTTATTGTCCATCAATAAAATTATTTATGACGATTTGTTGACCCGAATTCGACTCTTATGAGTACAACATGTTATCCCTATAGAAAAGGGAACGCCATTTTTTATTTTTTTAAAATATTGTTGGGGACGACTTCTTGACACCATAGTCATAGCTATGAGGATGACATGTCGTCTTTCATAAAAAAAAGAGATAACAACTTGTAAGTATTGAGGACGATTGTCATCCCTAATATTGGGGACGACCTAGATATTTTTCGTCCTCAAAAGAATAGAGGACAAGCATATAGAGGACGCAATATTGGGGACAACTTAGTCGTTCCTAAAAACAATGGCGACGATTTTATCTATTTCCGGGGACGGCTTTTGTTGTCCCTAAACCTACTATTTTTTTGTAGTGAGAGATATATAAGTCTGCATGCAGGTTTTTCTTATCGGGTTGTAGACATTTTTGTTAATTTTTTGGGTCGACTTAGGTAGCTACATTCAGTAAAACTGGTGTGGATCTAGAGAACAATGTATGTAATTTATGTTGTTACGAATATATCTTCTATCTAGTATATATATATAATTCCATTAATAAATTATTAGATTCGAAAATAGAGAAGTGAAAATTTGAGGCAGTTGATGATGGCATTCTTTACTTGGATGTTGTAATGATTAGACAGATTAGAGTTTGTCCACTTTTTGACATTGTAATTCTTTATTAATTATTGACAAGTTTTATTTGAATGAAGAGAAAAAAAATCATGTGTATTTTATTTCATTCTCTCCACTTTATCTTTTAACACATGATGCTATTCAGAGTGTGCATTCCTCTTCCCAATCCATGACCACTCTTCGAGCCCCAACTAGGCCATCACTACAGTGAAGTACCGACAACATAGATGTAGATGTTGTTATTGTCAAAAATTGTATGTGTTTAACACATCTTCCAATCACTCCAAAAGAAAACATGATGTCATATCACAATTGCTCTACAACGTTCCTCAGTTTTATTGTCATTCCTT